TGTGTGTGTGTGTGTGTGTGTGTGTGTGTGTGTGTGTGTGTGTGTGTGTGTGTTTAGAAGGATCAGGAACGAAAAAAGATATTAACTTTTTAAAAAATTCTTTTTATTTTTTTCACAAAAAACATTAGGAATTTTAAAATACAAAAAAGCGATCGCAAAAATATTATTGCCGCTGTTCAAACGATACACAAGGTATCTCATAACTGGTAAAACACCCGTTAAGGGTAGGTAGGGGATAAAATTTGGAACTGAAAGTTTCTCTTCCATTTTTGGATCCGACAATTGGTTAATGAGATATTAATTATAATAATTAAGTCTGTCAATCCCTTAACGCCCCGTGTGAGCACTTAGCGCCGCAGGGCGCCGTGGACTCCTCAGAGGCCTTGTTTGTCTGTTTTTCTTCCCTTTTTTGCATCACAGAGGAATAAATATGGATGAGTGAGTGAGTGAGTGTGTAGATGGCTGCCTGACCGAGACTAAGGGGATGGCAAGTTTTCAATGTGTGAAGGTCATGTATGGGTGTTTTTGTGTGCGATTATAAGTGTATAGATAATTTGAATGTTTTTAGTGCGAGTGAGCAGAATGATTGCACCTTATTTGTCGGAGGGCATATGTGGTATATTTCCTTCGAATGTGTAGGTGACTTGAATGTTTTCTGCATGTCGATAGTTGAATATCATGAATGATTTTAGTATGTGTGTACAGAAAGGGGAGGAAAACGGGCAAGTAGGGCCCTTGAGGAGCCCACGATGTTCTACGTCCCTGAGCGCTCACTCAGGACGTTAAGAGATTGGCAGACTTAATTAATTAATATCTCGTTAATTAATTGTCGGATTCAAAAACGGAAGAGGAACTTTCAGTTCTAAATTGTACTCCCTACCTACCCCTAACGGGTGTTCTACCAGTTGTGGGACACTCTGTATACATTCTGACCTCTTTTACGACACTGGGGACATCCTTTAGATCATTGGCTGCCAAATCTAGCAATTGCTTCAGGAGTGCCTGTTTAAAATCGACTTCGGAAGCAGAGATAAGAATCTGCGATCTAAGCTTGGCGAATTTCCATCATATACACTATTCCTTCCTCACAATATCCTTTATTTCGTAAATCTGTATATGAACGATTTGATCGCCTGTCTCACCCGGTGATTTTATTGTGATCATCTTTCCCGATTTTTCCTGCAGAAAAATGTATTAAGGAACACGATCAGGTACATTGGAAAAAACCTGGAGTAATGATTTCAAGCCATCACAGCGCATTGTTGCCGATGTTGTTGTTGTTTCCTCAGTCTTCCTCTTCTTCCTCTCGCAAACATCATCATCATCATCATCATCATCGGTACCAGTAGCAGCAGTAGCAGCGGTGACAGCTGCTTCGTCGTCTTCGTCGCCGTTGTCCTTCTTCTCCAATGTCCGATCTCTCTCCTCTTCTCTCGATTTCGCCGGACTTTGCGTCGATAAACGCGGCGATAACATAGGACTGTTATTTGTATTCGTTATCGTCGTCGTCATACCGGGAAGAGTGTTGACATATTCGTCGTGCGTGCATATCGATTCCCGGTATGTTTCTTCGGTCATCAATCCGCATCTGAAAAATGGTAAATAAAATTTCCGCGGTATATGCATCCTCATGAAGGAATTTACGTCGTCTTTCGAACAATACTCATCCACCATGTCTTCCTTCAGCCAAGTATTGTAAATGTTAAGAAACATCTCTTTCATGTTGGCGCGTTCGTATACCCGACGTATCTCCGGATCGATCTTTTTCTGCTGCGTCAGAATATTTCGACACACTCGCTATCAGCATCCTTAGATTGCGAGGAGCCGCAAATAACTCGCAGACAAAATCGCTAGGTGTAAAAAGATACATCACCTCTTCCTCTTTAGCGGCGGCGACGGCGAAACGAGCAGCGTCGTTCGTCATCGCTACCTTATCACCGTTTTCGTAATCCGACAGCGATACTTATACGGTCTCTTGTTGACTTCTTTTACCGATGCGCTGCATCTTTTGTTCAAACTTTTATTCTCTTTATTATTCGGAAAAATCGTATGCAGCAGCCCTTATTTATACAAATTTCCGAAGGATATTCAACCGCGTAACACTATACGCATCGGTCCTTTCCACGATAAGGACAGTCGCCGCCGCAGCATCCTTTTCCGCAATAACTCGCCGATTAATCAGGAAATGCGCGACAACGAGGAAGTGCAACGGATACCGCATCCTTTTTAGATTTTTTATCTAAAAAATTACATAAAGCGGTGCATATTGCTATCAGCATAGAGATGCTATATAAATCGGACGGCGAATTCTTCCGTAAAACACACAAGGAGCGAACGAGCGACTGCAAGAACGACGACGACAGCAATAAAGAAGGGAAAACATCTGCAAATCGCCATTTTTTTACATTTCCACAAAAAAGGCAGAGTAAGTAATTTTTTTTTCACAAAAAAATTAAAAAAATGTTATACTTATTATATTTTGAATGATCGATATTATATTTTGAATGATATATATTTTGTAAAAAAATTTTTTTTCAGAAATATGAAAGCAACTGCAGAACAATTCAACAAAGACTGGAACGAGTGCTACGGGGTCCTGCCAGAAGATCACCTGCGAGAGGGCACGTACATCACGCTCAACGGTTGTTACTGCCTAAAAAATAACAATGAGGAAAACGTCTATATAAAGGACGAGCGCTATCGACGACGCAAGATGTGCCAGAATTGCTTCAACGCAGAGCATCTGAATAATTACACGCTTATTCACACGCGTCACACTATATACCATCGGAGCACATTCAATCCGGAAATCTCACTCTTCTGCGTACTCTGCAAAAAAGATTGTACGCAGGAGAGGCGATTAAGTGTAGACAGTGTATTGAGGAATGCCTGGAAAACTCAATAAGCCGGCATCCTCAATAAGCGCGAGATTATTGTTGAAAAATATTATTACAACCAATAAAAAAATGTTTTTCTATTTCATCTTACTTTTTTATTACACCCTTTTATTCCCTTTAGCTAGTAAGCATTTTTAAATAAGAAATTGTCTATTATTTTTATATTATACTTCTAAATTGACTAAAAAATAAAAATAATAATAGAAATTGACCGCTGCAGCGCTATCATAATATATCATCGACGTAAAAACATAAGTATTGAGATCTCTCGGAAATAGTGCCGGCTTAACGCCACGCGCGCGCGTGCAACGGCAAAAAGTCGACGACAACGACGACGACGACGACAACGGCGACGAGGAAAGTTCAAGACGTAACACACCACGCATTACAATAAAACTGTCGCCGCGACCTTCTTTCTTTTTTAAATAAACATTAATTTGTTGCCGCAATCACGCGCGGTCACGCGCGCGCCATTTCTAATTGCAATCTAGCACCTTGTTCTACTATTTTTTATCGCACGTGCGCACGCACGGTTGATTATAGAAATCCTGTAATAAGAGATCGGACACCATATATTAACGTTTTGATTGACTGCCATGTTTGGGTTCCTGCTTCCGGTTAGGATCATTAGCTAAATGACAACACAAGCAGTGGTCTATTCTTTTCAGCAGCACTGGCTGCACTGCTGAACTGGTGCAATAAATTAAAATGAGATAAGTATACTTCCGGTTTGGACCCAACATGGCGAATCTAGTATCTACAGGCGATGGTGTCCAATCTTTTATTAAAGGATCTCTAGTCGATTAGACCGCCGTCATCTCTCTGTCGCGCCGTCGCACAGTGTAAGATATTGCAATTCTAGAGGAACTTAATTCTTTAACGATCAAACGCGCTAATGAATTTCTCTGAAACTATATATATAGTAGTTTTTGGAGCCACTGTTTCCATAGGTGATGGCTGAAATTATTGTATCTCAAAAGGAAATTTTAATATGACAGATTGAAGAGAAAAACTTTTCCGAAAAAGATATAAGTTTGTATAAAATGCTTATTTCATATCGAAATAGTTTTTCTAATTTTTTGAAAGTTTAGGGAAAATATTGATTTTAATTGTACTTAAAGAATTCTAAATATATTTTATTAAATTCAAAATGGCGGATTCAAAATAGTGGGCCAAATATCAAAATTTGTTGAATTTCACAGACATACTAAAATATTTTGTTTCTAGAGTTTTTGGGTCGCTAAAAAATCTGAAATAAAAATATTGATTTTTAAAATGACGGATCAAATATGCACTAAAAACCAAAATTTAGTAAATTTCGCGGATTTACATAAATATTATATCCTTCGGTTTCTTGTCACTTAGAATCATTAGCTCACAATTAAAAAAAGCGCTAAAAAGAAATCACATGAAATATTCAATCATTTTGAACTTGGCCATTATTACATATGTATTTTACTATTACCTATGTAACCACACAAACCGAGGAAAAAAAATACTAAAATTAATTTTCCTTCGAACAAATTTGCATGCGATAAATTTTTTCAAATAAAAGAAAGTACATATAATATCATGTATCAAGCCGCGTTTCAATCTCTGTATGAATTTCTTCGTAATAAATTCATAAAGAAAGTGGTACTTTTTCGTTCAGCTTGTTATCTCTCCTTAACAATTAATTCTACAAATCTTTGAATGGCACAAGCATGCGCAGTATTTTCCTTCAAAACTGAGTAACTAGGTCATTAGTCGTTATTTTGATTCTAGTGCCAGATGTATAAAGCTGTATAAAGCTGTATAATTAACTAAAAATATACTTGAAAATAATATTTAGCACAAATTATTCGGATTTCAAAGACGTATTTTAAATTATCATAGAGTAAAAAAAAATATTTAATCGCTCGACAGTCAATTATAACATAGTAACATAGTAACATAGTACTAAATGGTATTAAAAAAGAATCGGGAATAAAAATACTCGGAAAATATACTGAGGACTCAAAATCAACTATGAATATTTGCTCTACAAATAATATATCAACGCTTATCGTAATATCGTTGAACTTCCGACTGTCTTTACAATTAGTATTAAAAGCTTTTTTATTTATTCCATTGCATTTTCTGAATAAGATATTAGTTATTTAGCACATATTCAATGGTTATTAAAAAATTTTAACTTCCATTTTTTTAATAAAATCCCGCCAGATCAGAGAAATCTTACACTGTGCGTCGGCGTATTTAATACGCTACTGATTCAAAAGTCCGTTTATAGCTTCCCTGCGGATCGGGGAGTGTACGGCTCCCCGCTTGCCCCTGTGCCCCCGCGTCCACCACTTGCGGTTTCTTCGCACGTTCACCGCCCCCTCCCCCCCTCCCGCCCTGTTTCTCTGCGTTCCCATGTTTGGAGACCTGCTTATATGATTTACATCTTATACATGAGATGCTTAAAATTATCTATTTCCTATTTCGCGCATAACCAATAGTTGATAATGTAATCACATTCGACGGGATAAGGCGACGGAATAGGGAGGGGGGAAGACGAGGAGATAAGAAAGCACTATAGAAAAAGGAAGTAAAAAAGAAAAGAGCAAAATGAAAAAGGAAAGGAAAGGGAAGGAGAGGAGAATAATGTGAAAAAAACGTGCCGAGGTCTCCAGAACGTAACAATATATTTCTAAAGTATTTTAGAAATATTGTATGCTATTTGGTTTTTTTGATACCTATATTTCATATTGTTGCAAGTAACATAATTATATCTTAATTTGTTGTTTTTCTAAATTTCCAAATAATTTAATTACTATTATATCTTCCTCGGTTATCTGTAAATGTAAAAAATCAAAAAATATATAAATATTACAAAAACACACACATAAACACCATGAATGCTATCTAAGAGAAAGTTTATGATAGATATTATAATCTTTCTCATAGATGTAATGTGTACTTTCTTGTAAATAAAGTAATATTATTCACAAATTTCAAAGTTATTAATTATTTTATTATAAAAATATAGCTTTTTGTTTTATAATGATTATAATTAAGTTAATGATTATGATTATTAATTAAGTTTTATAAATAATTACAATACATTTCATAAATTATGAGAAATAATATTGTTTTATTACTCCTTTACTGTAGATGCTATTACCCCGCCCACCTTTCCACCATGTTCCTTTTCCACGATGATAATTTCCTCCCCTTTACCTTCTTGCCGATCCTCGAATACCAGCTCTCTACCACCTTGCCGGTCCTAGAATAAATTATATAATTTATATTAATATACATATATAAATTAAATATATTACTTTATTTATTAATTCATTAAATTTATAAATCGTATGATGATAATTCTTACTTGATCTTGACTGTATAATTGCTGCATGTTTTATCTTTGATGGTAGTGGTAGTGGCGGTGGTGGTAGTAGTAGTAATGATGATGGTAACACGATAACTGACAAAACGATTATGCTGTTGCTGATGAAGACTTTGGTGACGATAGTGGTAATGGAATAGAAGCAACTGCAGCTGCTGAAGGTACTGTAGTTGTTGATACATGTGATGGTGGTGACAGTGGTAGTTGTACTATTGAAGCTATTATTTTTTACCGGAGAAATTCATCCTTCAACTTTTCAATTTGCTTTTCTTTAATCCCTAGATAGCCAAGCCTGCAAAAGTCAGGTTTTACTAAGTCTGTGCTGCACACTATGTTGACATAATTTAGACAATAACAAAGTATGATACACTATCTGATATGTCAGATAGTGCGTGTACAAATGTAACAGAAATCTAACAGAATCTGCGTCATGATATGGCATAAATAGTACAAAAATAAGGCACCATATATGAGCTGTGACCCCAATTCTATTTCTAAGATTCCGCCCGCGACAGCGGCCGAATTTCCCGAGATGCCGCGGTTACGACCTCGGTTTCCCCGACGCGCGACAGAGCTCACCAACGCGTGTTCCGTCGCCCTCGGAGACCCGCATATCCGTGTTACAACGCGCGCAGTCACAAGAAATACGTAAGTCGCTCACCGTCCTGTGCAGTCGCGAACGCGGTAAAGAGGCGGCAGACAAAGTGGGAAGGACGACTAAATTTCCGCGGTCTCGCTAGCTTTAATCCGCGGTAGCGAGCTCGTCTGACTCTTCAAAAGGCGGCGAGGAACCTTTCCGGTTGCCGTCGGGAAGCGACGGCAACCACCCCGATCTCGAGGTACCCGAGTGCTGAACTGTAGGCTGAGGACGGCTCACCAATCTCCCCCGCTGCTCTCGCCCCGCTCTCGTTCTCGCTCTCGGTCTATGACTCCGCCGCTGTGCTCGCTCGCTCACTCGTTGTCCTGCTGCGCTCGCCTAAGGTTTCGCGTCGCTCGCTATCCGCACAGTGACGAATTTTCCGCGAGCGCGAGGCTCCCTCGGCTCGCGATCTTCGCCGCCGATAGCCGCTAGGTCCTATTGGTCCTGCTGGAGCGTACGGCTCTAGCGCGGGCGCCTTACAGGGCCCGCGCGACGCCGCCGAATTTTCTGTATTCTTCGTCGACGGACTCCTGTGCCCGACGGCATCCTCGACTTGCGCGATCGCGCCGGTGGCTGCCGGAAATGTCCCGTATCCCAGGGCGTCCCCCGGGATCGGATCCTCAATGTCCAGCCTTTCTTCGCGACCCGCGTCAAGTTAGCTGGGGCCCCCCTTCGCTTATGCTAGCGAAGGAGTGGATCCTGGCCCGTTGGCTCGTCGCTAGTTCCAAGTCCGCCGTCGCTCCATCCCGGTACCGGTAGCCTGCCGCAGGAGCAAAACACACAAAACAAAACAAAAATGTAGAACGCGCGCTCCCGCACGCAAAGGCGTGCGAGACTAAATTTTTCGCTGCTGCCTTTCCCGCGGGAGAAGGGGGCGCGAGCACAGCTTTCCTCGTCTCCCAGTTATAAGTACTAATTTGGTGACAGCGAAACCGCCACGTCACAGAGCATAGCAAGAGAAAAATTTAAATATTAAGTGCAAACATGATTTTTCGACATGAAGCAACATAAAATCGAACAAAGAATGATGTCAAATTATGCGAACAAAAAGGCATTAGAAATCAAATTAATTAAATAACATTATGAGACAGCAGAAATGCGGCAGAAATCGATCACGACGTGCCACTCGAACGTAATGGCAGAAACACAGTAGAAATTTATCACGTGTCGTTCAAACGTAACAACAGAAACACGGCAGAAATACAGCACGAAATGTTGTTTTCTTAACGGGGTGCTCCATTTGCAACCCAATATATTTAATTATTAATTATTTTAATTGGAAGTACACTACAAAGAGATCTACAATAAATTTGTTGAATAATGTACCACCATACACGAGATAACAATAATAAAACAGTTATAAATTGCCACTTGACAATGTAAACAATTACATTGTTAAATGCTAAATGTACAATAGCTAAATGCTATTATAAGATTGCAGGAGGGAGAAGGCCTGACACAATACTCAGTTTTTTGTCCTCATAAATACGTCTCTTTATTAGTTACAGAGTTACTCACACGGCCCTCAGATCTCGCGCTCACGCAACGCAACTAATGCAACTCTGATCTCTTTCTTTCTTTTTCTCTGCCTCTGTTTTCTTCGATCGCATCATACATTTATATCCCACTTTCGTAACCTGTTGGTGAGATACTATTGGGACACGTGTGAGCATAATCCGGAAAAAACAGCCACGCTGAAAAAGTATTTACAAGTATTGCTCGATCAGCTGATCAGTTGATCGAGCTTGCGGCGCCTAAATGCGTTATGTCTGCTATCACTGCTCGCGTGAGAGTCGGCTTCTCAGCCGACGCGGCATCATCCGCCTGTTAACTTATTCGTCTTTTGTTCAAAATCTCAAATATCCTACACTCGGCCATCCTGCAGCGATATCCGACCGAATATCACTCCTCGCCATCGCTTGTCTCCTCGTCGTCGGACATTCTAGGTGCTCACGGTTTCATATAGTCCGCAGCGGTTGAGGTCCTGAAAGGCCCCTCAAACTCGCCTTCTCGCTGCACCAGGTACCGATCGTTACGTAACACCCGAATTATTTGATAAGACCCGAGGTACTTGGTCGCTAATTTTAAACCAGGTCCTTGCCGCGTTCGTCTGATTGCCACCAAATCTCCTTCCCGATATTTTGCAGTAACCACCCTGTTTTGGTCATAACCACGTTTATTTTCGCGCTAAACCATTTTTATATGCTCCCTTGCTTGTTCACTCAATTCGTCGCGCTCGTCCTGGAAAGCCTCAGCCCATTCCCTTTCTAACAATCTGCGAATCTCAGGATCGTCCCGCAGTCGCGCATGTACGCCGAATAATAAGCGGAACGGACTAATATTCGTGCTCCGACTTATCGTGGTATTAATACATTATTGGACAAATTCTAAGTGCTTGTACCATTCCTCCCACCTCGGATTCGCAAGCTTTGTCAATAGAAGTATAATAATTATTAACTCTTTCCACCTGCCCGTTAGTTCTCGATATTCCGGTGATCGTCAAAATATGCTCAATTTCCTCCGCACAATAGTCAGAAAAATCGTTCGAAGTGAATGCCGTTCCTCGGTCTGAAATAATTCTGCGCGGATTACCGACTGTTCTTTAAGCTTAAAACCTCGGCTGTATTCATAGTCTTAGTCGCATACAGTCATATAAATTTTATGAAAGAGTCGACCACTACGAGTATATGATTATATTTTTTCTTAGTAGAGGGAAGTGGTCCTAAGTGATCAATATGATAAGTATCTAAAGGAACATCCCCTTTCACTATTGGGTTCAGAAATCCTTCTGGCTTTTCCTGCTTTTTCTCCGCCTGTATACATGCGATGCAATTCCTCACATTTTCAATTTTAGGCTTAGCTTTCGGAATCCAATAATCACGTTGCAGAATAGCTTCTATTTTCGCTACGGAGAAGTGACCTCTTTCATATACTTGACGGATAATCTGTGTTGCATGGATCTCAGCACCACAACAAGCAAATCACCGTCGCTCTCCTTGCAAAGCAGGCCGCCTCTAATAATATAACCGTCAATCTTATTTTATTCCGCGCGATCGAAAATCCTCTTTACATCGTCAACTTTTTTTTGCGCATTTTTTAATTTGACCGCCAATCCGTCTTCTCGCGCTCCAATCAAATTACACAACGAGACTGGCTGACGACTTAGTGCATTCACGTACATCATGTTCTTACCCAGGCGATGCTTGATTTTATAATTAAATTTCTCTAATAGCAGAGCCCATCGCGCCACGCGTATACATAAGTCTTTTTTATTCATAGTCGCCGCGAACGCGCGACAGTCGGTCACGATAGTAAAAAAATCCCCAAAAAGTAAATACAATATTTTTTTAGAGCTCTAATAATTTGTAACGCTATTTTGCGTTTGGTGCGGGATATGCTACGAGTCGGTGTGGTCCGTGCATGGCAGATGTAATAAATGTGGAAACAGTGGTATAGGTATTAAATGCTATTTATTCTAACTCAGCTGGCTATGTACAATGCGTATTTACAAGGCTTCTCGACGTCGTTGGTTTGATGGTTGAGTTTTTGCTCGCCGTGCGAGTCTGTTTATCTTTGTCGCTGACGGTTCGGAAACGTCGGGGCCGCTGGTGGCCGCGGGACGCGGTCGGTGTTGTGACGCGTTGATTGTCTCGCGCTCGTGGCGAGATGTTCATATTCGGATCTTTAAATCTTGTGGCGGCGAGATCCATTATTCGGCGAGAGATTGACAGTTCTTCTAATGCGTGATGCCGTGCAGCGGTTGAGCCGTCACGTTTGGCGTTGTCCGCGCGTATCTAGCGGGTGCAGTATCGCGGTCTCAGGGCACTGCGGTGCCCTGCCTCTGTAGGAGGTGATTAAGTCGCACGAATGCGATTTCGGTCTGGCGACCCCTCGAGCGCGGGTGTACTCTATCGAGAGTTACCTTATGGTAACTCCTTGGTAACTTTTACGATGTCGTTCGGACGGATGGTTACAAATTGCCAGTACTTCTAACTCGTAACTCGGATATTTCTGCTCGGCCGCAGTAGTCTTATTCCTACTATAATAGACAGAATGAAACGCATCATCCTTTGTCCTTTTTTGTAAAAGTATTGCCCCATACCCATGCATTGACGCGTCAGTGTGCAACTCGGTCGCCGCACCTATCGTGTATAAACTTAACACGAGCTAGTCGCTCAGCGTTTCCTTTAACCGAACAAACGCATCCCTTTCGCGCTCACTGAAAACAAGTGGAATGCCCGCTTTTAACAAATCGCTTAGTGGACGTGCTATGACGGAATATCGAGGTATAAATTTTTGGAAATATCCGCTTAATCCCAAGAAGCTTTGCACCTGTTTAATATTAATAGGTTCAGGAAATGTTTGGACCGCCTTCACCTTATTTTGAGGAGGATATACCCGCCCTTCTTCTATAACAAGACCGTGAAATTCCACACACACTTTCAAAAATCCACATTTCCTCCAGTTAACTAATAACTCAGCCTCGCAGTTTTCAATACAATTCCGAGATTCTCTATCTCGCTCTCACAATCTGTAGACAGAATTATCAAGTCATCCATATATGTCAACACCATTTTTCTCTGCACGAGATTTCTATGAAACGCACACAATGAATTATGAAATACACAATATTATGAAACGATGGAACACGGCCGGAGAATTGTACAGACCGAACGGAGCACGCTAAAATTCATAATGTCCGTCAGGGACAATAAGGGCTGTGTACTTGCGACTTTGCTCGTCGATCGGAATGTAAAAGAAGTCGTTTTTCAAATCGAGCGTACTAAAAAATCTAGCGCTTTGCAACAGATCTAACTGGTCTTCTATTAACGACAACGGGTAGCGATCTCTAATAGTCTTTTTATTCAACTGCCGGTAATCGACGCATAATCTCACGGAGCCGTCTTTCTTTTTTGCCAGGACAATCGAATTCGCGTACTCGGACAGAGGCAGCTGTATAATGCCCTCACCTAACCATTCCTCAACTTGTATGTTAACTTGTTTTCTCTCCGTTACCGATAGCCGCCTAGCTCGCTGGTACAAGGGTTCTTTGTCTTTTAAAATTATGGTCATTTTTAAATTTATGTCGCGCGACCTAACAGAGTCGTAAGTGTCTACTAAATTTCTAATTTTGTATTGGCAATCCGAATCCGAAAGCGCTACGTCGATATTATCGGTTTTGTTAAAGTTTATGTTAATTTAAAAAATTTCGGGCACGCCTTCGTCCACGCATGATGACTCTAACAACGGCCTCATCGAAATCTCGCCAGCTCTCATCGTCACCTCGACGCCGTTCAGGAAGTCGGTACCAATAAGCTAATCATAGTTTAACGAAGTGTTCGACACGACCAACAAGAATAGGATATACGTGTCCGTCTACGGTTAAGTTCGCGTTAAATTAAAGCAAATATCGCTCACGGTGTCCACGAGGGCTATCGCTTCTCGGTACATCTCCCTCATCTCGTCGCAGCCGTCGCTGCGCCGGTCCTCGCGCGCCGCTCGTCGAAGCTCCATCCCGCAGCGTCACACTGAAAGCGTGTAGCAGTGAAGATTTTGTTGCAATACCACTGATACGAACTTGATCCCTCAAGCTTGCCACGGATATCCCGTCGATAAGGTAATCGACCAGCTCATCCTCACTGATCGGTACACGATTACCCAGAATTACTTTTTCGTGTACATACTGGTAAAACGTCTCATCCTTCCTCTATACGCGTTCCTCGAACTGCTTCCTCAGCATCACTCTGCCAAGCTGATGGTTAAACATCTATCGCAGTCCATCCAAAAGGTCATCCACCGACAGCTCGATATGTTCCGGTCTGGATTGTAGCCACTCCGAAACCTTTCCTCTTAATCGCATTCCTATTAGGATCTTCGTATGCCCGTCCGGCAAACGGTACATCGTTCGTATCAGTCTGAGTTGTTTTTCCTAGTTTTTCGTAATTTTCACCGTTATTGCCGTCAAAGCAACTGAGTAAATCTGCTATACCTGTAAGGCTTAACCTTGAAAAGTCCTGGGAGTCTCCTCGTCTCGTCATCTCATGTTGCGCTCAACTAATTCTCCAGCATCCAACTCACTCATGTCCTCTCGCGCCGTCGTGCCAGTCTTCACCATATGGGAAATCTCTTCCATCCACTTTCCCGGTGGATCCGTCTCATTTAAGCGAGCAATCAACTCGGCCTTATTTCCCGTCATAGATAAACCCAGCCCTCGCAACCTCTCCTTCAATTGGTCGTAAGGTCCGACGGATCTTTCGCGCTCATCCTCACACTCAAAAATGATCGCCGTCCCTCTCGCTCGCAAATGATCCAGTTGACCAAATTCTAATCCTGAACGAGCCCCCAAATTTTTGTAGGATTGCAGAAGGGAAAAAGCCTGACTCAAAATACTCAGTTTTTTATCCTCCCAAATACGTCTCTTTATTAGTTACAGAGTTGCTCACACGGTCCTCAGATCCCGCGTTCGCGCAACGCAATTAATGCAACTCTGATCCCTTTCTCTCTTTTTCTCTGACTCTGTTCTCTTCATTCGCATTATAAATTTATATCCCGCTTTTGTAACCTGTTGGTGAGATCCTATTGGGACATGTGTGAGCATAGTCCGGAAAAAACAGCCACGCTGAAAAAGTGTTTACAAGAATTGCTCGATCAGCTAATCAACTGATCGAGCTCACGGCGCCGAAACGCGTTATGCCTGCTATCACGTGTCGCTCGCGTGAAAGCCGGCTTCTCAGCCGACACGGCATCATCCGTCTGTTTACTTATTCGTCTTTTGTTCAAAATTGCAAAATATCCTACACTATCTAAATACGTACTTGCGACAATACATGGAAATATAATATTAAAGTTTACTTTAATGTTTCTCTTTTCTCCTTCTATCTTTCTCCTTATATCAAAGAAAATATATTTAAAAAGTATATTCTCTTCAGATATTAATGCTTTCTTCAGATGAAGATCCGCGTGATCTTCCGTTATACATCATCATGAAAGATTATACAGTTAAAGGAAGATCTGGTTAAAAAGAAAGATCAAAGAAAATAAAAATAAAAATCTTTTCAACAGCACTGGTGTATGCGCACCAAATGCGATTACCTATTTTTTATATTTATTTCATATAATTAAAACGAGGGAGAATTAATTCTTCTCTTTTCTTTCAGTGCTGTGAAAAGATTTTTATTTTTATTTTAATATTTTATTTGATCTTTCATCTTAACCAAATCTTTTAGTTTTAACTATATATTCTCTCATGATAATGTGTAAGCGAAGATCACGCGGACCTTCATCTGAAGAAAGCATAAATATCTAAAAAAAATACCTTTTTTAAATATTTCTTTTTTAATATAATATTTTTAATATTAATATTTTTTTAATATATAAAGAGAAAGAGAGAGAGAGAGAGAGAGAGAGAGAGAGAGAGAGAAGAGAAACATTATAATGAATATTTCGCGAATCATTCTTTGGAATACTCTGAGAATTTGTGAGAAATTACTATTGCATACTTATCTAATCTTAGAAATAATATAACTAAAAAACTCTTCTTGAGTATATCAACATTAACCTAAGGACAATTAGAGTTCACGCACAGGTTGTATAGTGCTATTATAAACTATTAAAACATAGTGACACAATCTCGCAATGAGAACAAATTTTTATTAAAAATCATACGCGTTTCGGTCTCATTTCGCAGATCCTCTTCAGTGATTACAAGTAATGATATAGTGTTGCAAAAAATAAAAAATCGCAAAAGTTGGCGTTAACAATGGTTGTCACAAAATTGTCGCTACAAATTTTTTGTCTACGGGACTCGGAAGCACAAACATAATATATCATTTACAACAATGAATTATTTCATTTTCGGAAGCTACCGGCAATTTATTCAGAGACTGGTCACTCCATCGCACGTACTAAGATGCTGTGGTATGATCATCTAAAAAAACGTATTCAAATAGAGCAACCAACCCAAATGTGAGGGAAAAAAACAAAATAATGATATCTACCTCGATAAAGGCCAGAAAGTTCCGGTGAGATATTACGCCTATGAACGTGTATCTCCGAATGCCGCAAACAATACAGAATCAGTGTTTATATTTACTTCGTAACCGCAAACGAAATATGATCTAAGTTAAACCGAGTAACATGTTGTAGCATTTTCCTAAATTCTCAGTGTCAGTATGGGAATTCAGTCCATGCGTCTGCATTTTTATAAAAATCATCTCTGCAATCATTCTTTTATAAAATAGATGTTCTTTATGCAAAACTTTGACATTATCCCACTCAAATTCGTGGCCGTAATTAACACGGTGCTCTTGTACGACAGAGAGATGCGAAGTAAGGTCTCGAGGTAGTCGTTTATGTTCAGATATACGAGTGGAGAGCTTTCTGCTCGTCTGACCAACATAAGACGAGTCACAGTCTCCGCACTCTAACTTATATACAACGTTATTCAGAAGATTCAGAGGCAAAGCGTCCTTATGGACACAAACCAGACCAGAAAGCTTGTTCATAATACTAAAACATGAAACCTTATTAAATTCTTTAAAAATCTTACTGATTCTATCTGAAATCATTCCCAAATATGGAAAAATATTATAAGAGCGAGTGGGTAACAAGGAAAACGAAGATGTACTTGGTGGAATAGTATTCATTTTTTCAATTAATCGAAACACGCGTCTTCTACAGATTCTAAGAACAAATTCGATGGGATAACCATTCATAACCAATGTGTGGAAAACAAACTCAAAATTCTTTACATGGAACATTGGGTGGCTCAAAAAAAATTACTCTATCCACTAACCCTATGATTGTGCCAATTTTATGTTGTATAGAATGAAAGGAGTTGTAATTAAGAAAGCGGCCAGAGTAAGTAGGTTTGTGGTACCAATCAAACCTAAGCCTACAATCTACAATTTCCAAAGATGTTTCTAAAAAACTAACTTTGCCTCTATCGCCATAATCAATCGTAAATTGAAGGCGTGAATGGAAAGAGTTAAAAACATTTAAGATATTCTCTATAGAAGTTTCTGGAACAGCCATAACGATGTCATCCACATACCGATAATAAAAAGGTAAACAGATCTGTATCGTCTGAAGTGCTCTTTCCTCAAGGTCTTGGAGAACAATATCAGCTATGATTGGAGAGAGAGGAGAGTCCATCGGGGTACCAAAAGTCTGCTTGTAAATACAGTCATCAAAGCTGAAATAAGAGGAGTTAAGGACGAATCTGAGCGCAAATATAAACTCATCCCTAGGAATCCTACAAGCCGCTTCCAAAAAACTCCATTTTCTCAAGACACCATCTATAACCAACTCAAGGGAAACGTTAGTGAACAATGAGACCACATCCAATGAAAACTATCTACAGTGTCCCTCAACATACAAATTAGCCAAAGAATTAACCAGATCAAAACTATTCTTGATCCTGCTCTTAGGTACAGGGATACTGGTAGAAATCAACCTGTGCAAAAACAAGGCCAAATTATATAGAGGACTATTTATAGATGAGACAATTATCCTTAAAGGGTTGTCCGCCTTGTGAATCTTCGGAGAACCATAAGCACGTGGAAGAGTGGCATCGCTCGATTACTATTGATCCTTTGAGATATGAGAAGTTAAAAAATCCAAACTTATTTCAACCGCAACAGAAGTGGTTTTTGAATCTATCATCGATTGACATACCGACCAATATTCAAGGTTTGCTACAATTAGGCAACGGCTTTAGTGTACCTCCAACTAATGAGAAATCCACTCTTATAGAATGTATAAAACATCTAGAAAATAATATGAGGTCGCTTAGTACGAATGAAAAAGAAATAATAAGGAGTCGTTCTGTTTCTATCTTACGTAGCATTAAACTGTATTTAGCTACTCAATATCACAATAACAAAGTTATCCTTCAAATTATCTTGAAGCAAAAACGTTTTCTAAGTCATTTCCAGATTTATTGTTTATAAAGGATGACAAGGGTAATGTTACAGTTGCTCTTGACAGGAATGTTTATGTTGCAAAGATGTTGTTACAGTTGGAGGACGTTAATACTTATCAGCTTGTTGAAAATAGATCCTACTAAATAAATAATAGCCGAATTAAAAAAACATTTTAAAAAGATGGAAGAATGAGTCCTACATCGATAATTCGGTTTATAAGTTTCTCCAATCGAACGATGCCACTCTTCCACGTGCTTATGGTTCTCCGAAGATTCACAAGGCGGACAACCCTTTAAGGATAATTGTCTCATCTATAAATAATCCTCTATATAATTTGGCCTTGTTTTTGCACAGGTTGATTTCTACCAGTATCCCTGTACCTAAGAGCAGGATCAAGAATAGTTTTGATCTGGTTAATTCTTTGGCTAATTTGTATGTTGAGGGACACTGTAGATTGGATTGGTTTTCATTGGATGTGGTCTCATTGTTCACTAACGTTCCCCTTGAGTTGGTTATAGATGGTGTCTTGAGAAGATGAAGTTTTTTGGAAGCGGCTTGTAGGATTCCTAGGACTCTCCTCTCTCTCCAATCATAGCTGATATTGTTCTCCAAGACCTTGAGGAAAGAGCACTTCAGACGATACAGATCTGTTTACCTTTTTATTATCGGTATGTGGACGACATCGTTATGGCTGCTCCAGAAACTTCTATAGAGAATATCTTAAATGTTTTTAACTCTTTCCATTCACGCCTTCAATTTACGATTGATTTTGGCGATAGAGGCAAAGTTTGTTTTTTAGAAACATCTTTGGAAATTGTAGATTGTAGGCTTAGGTTTGATTGGTACCACAAACCTACTTACTCTGGCCGCCTTCTTAATTACAACTCCTTTCATTCTATACAACATAAAATTGGCACAATCATAGGGTTAGTGGATAGAGTAATTTTTTTGAGCCACCTAATGTTCCATGTAAAAAATTTTGAGTTTGTTTTCCACACATTGGTTATGAATGGTTATTCCATCGAATTTGTTCTTAGAATCTGTAGAAGACGGGTGTTTCGATTAATTGAAAAAATGAATACTATTCCACCAAGTACATCTTCGTTTTCCTTGTTTCCCACTCGATCTTATAATATTTTTCCATATTTGGGAATGATTTCAGATAGAATCAGTAAGATTTTTAAAGAATTTAATAAGGTTTCATGTTTTAGTATTATGAACAAGCTTTCTGGTCTGGTTCGTGTCCATAAGGACGCTTTGCCTCTGAATCTTCTGAATAACGTTGTATATAAGTTAGATTGCGGAGACTGTGACTCGTCTTATGTTGGTCAGACGAGCAGAAGGCTCTCCACTCGTGTATCTGAACATAAACGACTACCTCGAAACCTTACTTCGCATCTCTCTGTCGTATAAGAGCACCGTGTTAATTACGGCCACGAATTTGAGTGGGATAATGTCAAAGTTTTGCATAAAGAACATCTATTTTATAAAAGAATGATTGCAGAGATGATTTTTATAAAAATGCAGACGCATGGACTGAATTCCCATACTGACACTGAGAATTTAGGAAAATGCTACAACATGTTACTCGGTTTAACTTAGATCATATTTCGTTTGCGGTTACGAAGTAAATATAAACACTGATTCTGTATTGTTTGCGGCATTCGGAGATACACGTTCATAGGCGTAACATCTCACCGGAACTTTCTGGCCTTTATCGAGATAGATATCATTATTTTGTTTTTTTCCCTCACATTTGGGTTGGTTGCTCTATATGAATACGTTTTTTAGATGATCATACCACAGCATCTTAGTACGTGCGATGGAGTGACCAGTCTCTGAATAAATTGCCGATAGCTTCCGAAAATGAAACAATTCATTGTTGCAAATGATATATTATGTTTGTGCTTCCGAGTCCCGTAGACAAAAAATTTGTAGCGACAATTTTGTGACAACTATTGTTAACGCCAACTTTTGCGATTTTTTATTTTTTGCGACATTATACCATTACTTGTAATCACTGAAGAGGGTTTGCGAAATGAGACCGAAACGCGTATGATTTTTAATAAAAATTTGTTCTCATTGCGAGATTGTGTCACTATGTTTTAATAGTTTATAATAGCACTATACAACTTGTGCGTGAACTCTAATTGTCTTTAGGTTAATGTTGATATCTAATCTTATTTACATTTTATGATTATAATAGACAGATATCCCATCACTTATAATGAGCGTTAATTTTTATAGATTTATAAATAAATATAATTTATTTATTTAAATCTTATATAATAAGATTTTTCTTTTTTTAAATTGTACTATTTTATAATTATTCAAAGTTTATAGTCTTTTATGACTTTGTCTATTTAATAACAGTTAACAATAAAAAAATATTTACTATAAAAATTTAAAGATAAAGAAATGGAATTTCTTTTTCTTTTTTGCTTTTTTTTTTTT